ATATAACTAATAATATACTAATAATAACTAATAATAAACTTAATAATAAAACTAATACTACAATTCATTCTATAACAGTGCGTACTGCTTATCACACCCAGCAAAAAGAGGATCAAGATTTGCACAGACAGTGCGGTAGCTATAATGAAGGTAGAAGGAAAAAAACAAAAAAGGCTGGCAAGGCAATAGTATAAAGAAGGAAACCACGATCTGGTAAAATGTATTTTAGATATAGTAGAAATAAAAAAATTATAATTGGAATTAGAAAAAGTTAAAGGCTATAGTAATAATTGTTAGAACAATAGAGCAGATAAATTAGCTAGATTAGGATCTAAAATAGAAGATAGTGACAGAATTATAGAAAAACCTCCTCAGGAGTCGAATGTCACTTTATATTAGAAAGAGACAGTAGTTGAAGACCCTACAAGAGAATTCCTATAAATGATTCTCGACCTCAAAACAAAAGTAGAATGGAAATCTTCTTCGGCCATAAGGAAATTAGAACCAGAAGACAGCGTACAAAACTAATACTGACCCATTTTATAGAAAAGGATCAAAGAACAGAGTGATGTATGATGTATAAGTTTAAGAAAGAACAAGCGTCTAGGTGTGCTGGTCAAATGCTTATATAAGAAACTACCAGTACTTAAAACATTATCAGCTAAAAAACCAGAGTTATAGGACAGTCCTACATGTATAATATGTGAAAAAGATGAAGAAGAAGACCAGAAACACTTGACCACATGTGAGAAGTATGAAATTAAATAGAAGGATGCAGAGCAACTAGCCTCGAACTTGGTCTGGACAGCCCTATCTGAAGAAACTCGCAGTCACCTTGACAAAATATAGCTCAGAAAGACTTTGTGGTGTTCATCGAAAAAGAAAAGAATGAAATTAAGGCTGGCATACTTAAAGGTTTGATTAAAGAAGAGGTCACGAAAAGAATCTTCAAAATGGTAGGAAGTCTGAAAGAACTTAGAATCTACATAGATACTGTGATCAACTTAGCTTGAAATTATTTCTATGAAAACATTTGGAAACCAAGATATACATATGTAAATGAATGTGAAAAGAAGGAATTGGCTCAAAAGAAATAAAGGGAAAAGCCCTAGTTTTAAGAAGCCAAATTCTAGCAATAAAGAGGGAGAATTGATTCTAGGAGAAGAAAACAGTCAAAATCAAACCAAGGGGAAAGTTAATAAGAAAGGAAATAGTGAATGCAAAGAGGAGAAAGTAAAAGAAAGTATTTGGTTTAAAGCAATTAAAAATTTTATTAAAAATAAAATGAAGCCATTCTGGTATGGCTTTACATACTAGCTTGGTGCAGCTCTTCAGTGCGGGCATATGCCTTATCTGGTGAGGCAGACCATTCTTGAGCACTTAATAGAGTAGTCAGAGAATGTTGGATCTGTAGCTTAGATAGTTGAATATATGTTTATGTATATAATTTGATCTAATAAAGATACTAGCAAGGCTGCCAATATAAAAAAAAAAAAAAATTATAATAAATTTTTATTACAACATACAGTTAATGCATCAAAATAAAAACATAAGTATTTATTTATTTATTAATAAATAAGTAATTGGTTAACAATGTCATAAAATAAAAATTTTATAATTAAAATGCTAATTTGATTTTTTATATTTTAGAAAAACAAAAAGCAAAGCAATCAACTAAGACATCTACAAAAGAAGCTCGTAATAATGAAGAATATGCATTTATTTCTAATGAAAGTCTAAATCTTATTCAACAATAACTCATAAACAAGAACAATTACTTAGTATTGATTATAAGAAATCAACAGTTCAAAAAAATTTGAATGATGAACTTGAACAAGAAATTAGACTTCACCAACAGCTCAAATTATTAAGTAATTTAGAAACTAATATGCTGGAATAGAATAATTGTTTTTTCCTGCAAAATAATTATTTTTACTACAATGTATTGAGCTTATTATTTGCTAAAAATTATCAAATTCATATAATTGCAAATTAAATTAATTTTTTAGTATAGCGATAGGATCATTTTAGTTTCAACTTTTTAGCCTAGTATTATAGAAAATAAACATTGTATATGAATATATATACGAATGTGCAAAAGCTGTTCTATTATTTATATAAAGACCCATTAGCACTATATATGAGAAGTGTTAGATCCATATTAAATATAAACCTCTTGGCTATAGGGTAATGAATATCTATATGAATATTGCACTAATATGCGATGGTCATCCTACATGCATATTCCAATTTTCAAATTTTATTTTGTATTGTGAAATGTTTGATTTTTAAAAATACTATACAGTACACCTCTTATATTTATAAAGAGTTGTATGGTACTATATTACAGTCAAGGAATATACCGAATTAGGATAACGTAGATCGCTCCTTTTACAGTAACAAAATGTCGATCAGATGATTCTCAACTATTCTATATGTGATTATCAGCTCCGTGCAATTAGCCAATAAATTTGCAAGGCCAAAACATAACGACCAAGGATGTACGTATAATGCTTTTACTTATAGCAATAAGAGATTTAGATTAATAACTTCATACAACGATATTGTTTTTCCGACTGCATGGGA